TGTTAGAGAGTTTGCATCTCAGGCACTGCTGGCTGCTCTAGAGGGCGCAGAGTTCCTTCGCTGTCCGGTACACGGAGGAGGTGTGAGCGCAGGTCACCGCTGGTGTGCAGTGCGGCTCCGGCGCTGTCCCCCTAACTTACAGCAGTTATCCTCTCCACCTTCCTGCCTCAGGCTGTAAAAGGACCCAGGACCGGGGGGTCTTATCCTGGCTCAGCCAGCCAGGCAGACACTGCCTATCGCTCTGGTGATTGTTAGAGAGTTTGCATCTCAGGCTCTGCTGGCTGCTCTAGAGGGCGCAGAGTTCCTTCGCTGTTCGGTACACGGAGGAGGTGTGAGCGCAGGTCACCGCTGGTGTGCAGTGCAGCTCCGGGGCGGTCCCCCTAACTTACAGCAGTTATCCTCGCCTTTCCTGACAGACACCAAAGTCCTGGGAGGCTCTGCATGCCCATGACCTCCTGGGCACCAAACCAGGGATCAGGCTCTGGAGTCTGCCTCCAGAGCTTCTGCCCTTTTCACTGCACCCTGTTCAAGGGGCTCAGAGGAGGTGGGTGACTTGCTAACGGTCACACAGCTGGAAGAGCCAGGCCTTGGGCACTGGTATCCTTCCCCAAGTCCAGGACTCCTCACAGCCCAGCTGCCTCCTCTATAGTCTCACAGGATAGCCCTGTGTCAGTCACAAGCACCGCAACTGCTCTTCAGGAGAAATGAACACACTTCCTGTGATTCCAATACCCATGAGGCCATTACGCATCCTACGCCCCTGCAGTGCTGGCCCCAGGGCAGATCTGGACTCTGGGAGGTGTTCAGAGTTCACCAGGCAGCTTTGGCCCGGTGAACCAGGCTTTTAGAGTCGAGAGCCTTGCACCCAGTCTGAAGGCTGTCTGCTCCAGCAGACGGAAGGCTGGCCACTGTGGTAAAGTTGGCCATCTCTTGGCTCCTAGGCAGGGCGAACTCCTCCTGGGCCCTGCCTGGGGCCAGCTTAGCGCACTCAGGATTACTTGGTGAAGGCGTGTAACTCGGTTAGGAAACTTGGATGGAGCAAAGTGCAACCTCTCACTTCCCAGAACTGTAGCCAGAGACTTACGAATACTGTCCTGGGGTCACAGAGGGAGGGTTGAGAGGGCCCCTCCAGCACTGAGAGATTAAGAGGGGTGTTCAGCATGGGGAAGGACGCTCGCCACGCTTTCTCATCCTTTTGGTGCCTCGGTGGCGTAGGACCATTATGTCTCTTTTACACACGAGAAAGCTGAGGTTCAGTTTTCTGAAGCACCCACATTAGGTCCACCTTCATGGACCTGGAATGGGAGCCGAGGCCTCTGTAACTCTGAAGCCAGGCCTCCTTCACCTGCTCACAGCTGGCCCTGAGCGCCTTAGGGGTAAGAGGATGCCCAGTCCAGTGCTCTTCCCACCCAGCTGTTGGACCCACCCACCTTGATTTTAGTGAGTGATGAAGGTATCAACTCGTTCATAAGATTAACAATTTATTGACTTTTAAAATGCTTACTAAAACGACAACTTATTACCCATTGTTAAAATCTAAGGTGGATCAAACAATGATTCGATTAAGAAATATGAAAAGTATCACTCAGCCAGCTCTTCTAAACCTCAGTCCTAAGACCTTGCTGGGGATTGTGGGAACTAGAAACAAGCCAGGCGTCCATCCTCGGGGTTGGGATGAAGGGCATTGTGTGATCCATGCAAGGAATACTCTTGAGCTGTTGCAGATGAGTGTGTTCAGTAATGACTGACCTGGAGAGCTGCTTTCATGTGTTGTAAGGACAAAAGCAGCTTCAAAATGGGATGTTCTAGCTTTCCTTTTTGTTTTTAGTATTTCTATTTGATGTATATATGCGTTTTGGTAACTGCCTCATTTCACCTAGCACAAAGTCCTCAAGGGTCATCCATGTTGTAACATGTAATAAGATTTTCTTCCTTTTTAAGACCAAGCAATATTTCATTGTATGCCACATTTCATTTATCCATGCACCATCAGTAGACACTTGGGTTGTTGGCACCTCTTGGGTTTTGTGAATAATGCTGCTATGAATATGGGCTATTTCTATTTTTAAAGAAATCAAAAGAAGCATTTCTATGCAAAACCCATTAACTACGCATCATAGAAGTCAAAGGTCTTAGGACTGGAACTGGGAGTCCTCTGCTCTAGCTGCAGCTTCCCCACTTGTGGGGATCCACCAGGTCCCTTTAGTTCTCTGCTTTCTTGCGCATCAGTCTCCCCATGTGACAGTGTGATAACGGGACCAGGTGGCCTCCCAGGGCCGCCCAGCCTGCAGGTTTCCCAAATCCATGACCCACTCTGCTTCTCCCCTCACTTGCTGCTCTGGCTCCACTATCTCCGGGTCCCTTTCTTCCTGTCTCATTCTGGTGCCCTGATCCTGGCATGAGAGGACAGACTCCTGGCCTGGTGTTATGGTCTTGGATTTTGAGAGCCAGATGTGGGAAGGGGGAGACAGCTGATACAATGAAATGGGCCTCAGAGTTGACTCTGCCAAACCTGGGCGACATACCCACCTGATTCCGAGACTAGGGCAAGTCTAGGCAGTGGCCTGTGTGGGGTTAACTCACCAAGAAGTTACCCAGGGTAGCCTCCAGATCTCAGCTGAAGCAGAAAATGGTCTGGGCTTCTCAGTTACCTGCAGCCACAGGAATGCTAATCTCTCTTTGCACAGCCCTGGGAAGCTGAGTTCTAAAAATTCCTAACATTCCGGTTTGGTTTGCCCTCCCACCCCGCCTTCCCGCCACACCCGGGACCTGCAGCTCCATACCTGTTCTTCCTCTCCACTGAGCCTTTCCTTAAGCAGTTGGCTCAGCCCCTTCTGCAAAGTCCTCCCAATCCTCAGCTCCCTCCACCTGCCCCAGGTCTCCCACCTGCTGCTTGACCATCTCTGGGCCTCCTCATTCTTCCGGATCAGTTTAAGCTGCTCCACCTTTCTATGAAGTGTACTGGTCGCCCCGCCCCCTGGCACCCCTGCCTCCACCCCAGGAGAAAGTCATTGCCCACTGCCCCGTACCCCGGGAGACACCCCTGCTTCCATCTCTTGCAGTAAATCTCTCCACAGCAGTGGTTCGCCTTTGCTCCCACCAGCCTCTGTGGCCCTTGAGGGTGGGAACAGTGACTGGTCCCTCTCTGGGTCCCAGGGCCTGGCATGGGGCCTGGCACTGAGTGAGCACCTGATACAGGTTAGATGGCTGGATAGAAGAGAGAGAACCAGAGAAGGGACCGTCACTAACACCAAGGTTTCAGAAGTTGTATGCTAATTTGGTCTTATCAGTAGCTTCTCAAATGAAGTTATGATTCGGGGCAGTTCTCCAAAATGGAATTGTTCTTAGCAAACCACCCTATCCAGCCAGTCATTTATTTTAATGCTTTGGCACACATACAGTTAATGTGTCTCCAGGGAACCACACTTTCCCAGAAGAGACTGGCATGGAGCATGGCAGTGTGACCTAGAGACCCCACCTGCAGGCCTGAGGTTCACAGGAGACTGGCTGCTGAGCTGCCTGGTTTCTGATATCCTGGTCCTGGCCCTGGATGAATTCATATCCCGGCCTTGGGGCAGAACAGGTCTCCAGTGCTGGGAAGGTTGGAAGCTCAAAGGCACAGGGAACCAAACCTTGAATGCTCACTTCACTTGAATGAATCGGGTGGCCCTGCCAAGAACTAAATCAAGGTCTGTTGCTTCTGAACTCCCTGCTGCTTCCTTGCACCAGCCTCCCAGGCATCTTTTGGCGGGCAGAGGCGTGCACACAGGTGGACTGAATGAAGCCCCAGGCGTTGTGGCTTGGTGTGAGGATTGCCAGCATGTTTTCTCTCGCATGCCGCCTCAACTCGATTGGTAGTGACTGGGTGGATGGCATGTTCAGAAGGATTCTGAGGCCCCAGCTCGGGTTAGCAGGAAGGAGCACTGAGATTGAGTGCTAACGTCTGCCTCAGGAGTGAGAGGGAGGAGCCGTGCCCAAGTGCCCACCGCTGCCTCTCCACCTTCAATGCTGACCAAGCACAGGGCTCGGTGGCGGAAAGCCTTGGGATTAAATTCCCCTCTGCTGGGCCTCTGTCTTTTCATTTCTGAAACAGACATGTGTTAGGGTACGGGCAGAAGCCTTAAAGTATTGTGGCCTGTAACATATTGGAAGTTAATTTCTCTCTGACACTGAAGAATCCAGAGTGACGTGCGCAGTTCTGAGCTGGCAGGGCAACTGTGTCGTCTTCAACATGCACGTTCTGCTTGTGAGCCCAATGTGGCTATTTCAGTTCTTGCAATCTCCTAGGCAGAAGGAAAGGGAACCAGGCCAGGGCAGTGTGTATGCAGTAATTTGGAAGGTATGACCCAGAAGCTGCCCTCGGCATTTCTCATATCCCGTCTAGGCAGAAGAATCACTTGGCCACATCTAGCTATGAGCTTGGCTGGGCAATGTAATCCTTTGCTGGGGATCCATGTGTCTAACTAAAACTCTCTTTTTTAAGATATTTATTAATTTTTTTGATGGCTTCCCCGGTGGCTCAGACGGTAAAGAATATGCCTTCAGTGTGGGAGACTCAGGTTTGATCCCTGGGTTGGGAAGATCTCCTGGAGAAGGGAATGGCAACCCACTCCAGTAGTCCTGCCTGAGGTTGCAAAGAGTCGGACGCGACTGAGCACATTGCTGCTGCTACTAAGTTGCTGCAGTCGTGTCCGACTCTGTGCGACCCCATAGACGGCAGCCCACCAGGCTCCGCTGCCCCTGGGATTCTCCAGGCAAGAACGCTGGAGTGGGTTGCCATTTCCTTCTCCAGACTGAGCACACACACACACACACACACACACACACACACACACACTGATTTTTTTCACTTGGCTGCGCCAGATCTTAGCTGCAGCTTGCAGGATCTTGGATNCAGACATGACTAAAGCACTTGGCATGCATGCAGGAGATGACGCCCACCACCTCCCAGGGCTTTCAGAACTGATGACGGTGTACGCCTTGCCTCCGGCACCTCACAGGCCTTCCCCGAGTTCACTGGGCGCGTCTCCTTTCCCACGCAGGAGCTGGTGAAGATCCTGCACAAGGCGCTGGAGGCAGCCCAGCAGGAGAAGAGGGTGTCCAGCGCATACCTGGCAGCGGCCCAGGACAAGGACCGGCTGGAGCTGGTGCGTCACAAAGTGCGGCAGATTGCGGAGCTGGGCCGGCGGGTGGAGGCCCTGGAGCGGGAGCGGGAGAGCCTGGTGCAGACGGCAGGCCTGCGGGAGCAGGAGATTGAGGAGCTGCAGCGGCACGTGCAGCTGCTCCTGGACAAGAATCAGGCCAAGCAGCAGGTCATCTGCAAGCTCTCCGAGAAGGTCACCCAGGACTTCATGAAGGCCCCGGAGGAGGCCGACAGGGACTTCCTGAGCCAACAGGAGAAGATGGAGCACCTGAAGGTAGGCAGGGGCCCTGGGCCCTGGGGGAGGACACCGATCTTGACCCCAGGGCTTTTCTAGGTGGATCTGGGATGATCCTTAATCCTGGAGAATTCATATTTGAGACAGATGTTGGTGAAAGTGTCTCTGCACGCTCCCTCACTTTCTTAACCAGAGGACCCAATGCAGCTTGACATTTTCATGATACCCTAAGCTGAAAAGTGAACGTATCTCTAAATTATCAGAGTAAAGATGGCAGAGCCCACAATGGAGTCAGAACTCCTAAGCACTCTGGGGCCAGCCTGGTCGGCTTCCTTCGGTGCCACATCGATGGCCTTGGAAGCCACCGAGGTGCCCAGTGGCCCTCGTCAGCAGTCCTGCACCCAAGCGGCGACCTGTGCTGCTGTGACTTGGTCACGATGATGATAACAGTCGGTACCCCCCACACAGATTGTTTATGGTGAGGCATCCACCATCCTAAGTGCTTTTTCTACATCACTCCATTTAATCCTCGCACCAGCCCTGGAAGGCAGCCACTTACATGCTCCCCATGTACAGATGAGGATGCCAGGGCTGCGAAAGGTGAAGTAGCTTGCCCAGGGCTGTGTGTGGAGGAAGTGAGGGGACCAGACCCGGGTTCCAGCTCCCTTCTCTGACCGTTCTGTCTGCTTTGCTGCCTTCCCAGTGCTTCTAGCCACCACTGTCATCCCTTTCTCACCCTTGTGCAGGCCGTGGCTCTCACCCATCTCCCAGGGACCACTTAGAGCTCAGGAGGTGAGGACTTTATTATAGGTGTAATGCCTGCCACAGGCCACAACCTCCTCCCCGGAGGGTGGTAACAGGAGCTGGGGACAGGTGCTCCCAGCCCCCACCATCCCTACAGGCAGCCATATAGCCCCGGTCAGTCCTGCCCCAACCCTGGCACTCACAGCCACATAAATATACTTCGGATTACCATGGGAATCCCAAACCGCTATCTCAAAGAACTGCTATTGGTGGGGGTCGGAGGGGGTGGCAGTTGGCAGGCGTAGGAAGGGGAAAGGAAAAAAGAAATAAAGAAATGCAGGAGCTTTTGAGAAACCAGTGGGCATGTGGTGCAGTAGGCACTGCCCAAGCTCTGCAGTCGGGCAGACTGCCCCTTACTAGCTGTGTGACCTTGGGCGAGTCACCTCGCCTTTGTGACATGGCCTAGCCCGTCTACAGTTGCTAGAAGGATAAAAGATGACATGAAACCCAAATTTCTTTGCCTTTCTTTTTCATCAGGAAAAAGCACATAACCAGTCTCTGAACCTTTTCACTTATTTGGTCTAAAATCAGAGATTCTTTTGAGTTTAAAAGGAAAACAAAATCTTTCAAATGCAGATGTAGCTAGGTTGTTAGAAAGCTCTGAAGTGAAGGTCACTCAGTCGTGTCCTACTGTTTTCGACCCCATGGACTATACAGTCCATGGAATTCTCCAGGCCAGAACACTGGAGTGGGTAGCCTTTCCCTTCTCCAGGGGATTTTCCCAACCCAGGGATCGAACCCAGGCATGTCTCCTGAATTGCAGGTGGATTCTTTACCAGCTGAGCTGTAAGGGAAGCCCTGAGTCCCTCACAAAGTGGTAAAAATTGCTTCCATCAGATCACTTTCCTGCTCTGCCCCACCTGCTAACTGTCTTTCTCCTTTTTGTGCCCATTCTGCTGGAACCCACTGTTGAAGTCCCAGTGGAGCAGCATGGGCTGAGAGAGATGGGCTTGCGCCAGCTTGGACTCACCTGGGAGACTGAATGCGCCCCTAAATTTGCATGTCCAGGAATATGTCAGTGAGCTCAGAGATGAAGAGGCTTGGTACGATTCACATCACCCATGCTTACATTGACGGCTGCTCCTCCAAGGTTGTTAGAAAGCCATCAGTCCTTCAGCTGACACCCTGGAGGTGTTCCATGCTAGAAAGAATTGTCCGTACTAGAGTCCGTTAATTTTAGCCTTTGGGTCTCTGATCCAGGAAAAAATAGAAGATCCATCAAAACCACTGTCTATAGTTTTGGGGACAGAACATGCTCACATTTCCTGCTTGCCCTTGTTGTTGAGGACACTCAACTTCGAGGAAATCCCCCCTTGTTGTCAAAACTGTCAGCGCGAGAACAGAATCACTGACTTCTTGACTATCAGAGCTTGGCTGGCAGGGTCAGCCACGTCCTGGAGAGGAGGAAGGACTGATCCAGGGTCACACCGCAGAAGTGACAGGGCTACAGCCAGACCCTGGTTCTCCCCATGTCCAATCTACTCGCTCCCACAGTAGCACCAGGCTGGTCTACACACCTAGCCTTTCCCTTCTCCAGGGGATTTTCCCAACCCAGGGATCGAACCCAGGCATGTCTCCTGAATTGCAGGTGGATTCTTTACCAGCTGAGCTGTAAGGGAAGCCCTGAGTCCCTCACAAAGTGGTAAAAATTGCTTCCATCAGATCACTTTCCTGCTCTGCCCCACCTGCTAACTGTCTTTCTCCTTTTTGTGCCCATTCTGCTGGAACCCACTGTTGAAGTCCCAGTGGAGCAGCATGGGCTGAGAGAGATGGGCTTGCGCCAGCTTGGACTCACCTGGGAGACTGAATGCGCCCCTAAATTTGCATGTCCAGGAATATGTCAGTGAGCTCAGAGATGAAGAGGCTTGGTACGATTCACATCACCCATGCTTACATTGACGGCTGCTCCTCCAAGGTTGTTAGAAAGCCATCAGTCCTTCAGCTGACACCCTGGAGGTGTTCCATGCTAGAAAGAATTGTCCGTACTAGAGTCCGTTAATTTTAGCCTTTGGGTCTCTGATCCAGGAAAAAATAGAAGATCCATCAAAACCACTGTCTATAGTTTTGGGGACAGAACATGCTCACATTTCCTGCTTGCCCTTGTTGTTGAGGACACTCAACTTCGAGGAAATCCCCCCTTGTTGTCAAAACTGTCAGCGCGAGAACAGAATCACTGACTTCTTGACTATCAGAGCTTGGCTGGCAGGGTCAGCCACGTCCTGGAGAGGAGGAAGGACTGATCCAGGGTCACACCGCAGAAGTGACAGGGCTACAGCCAGACCCTGGGTCTCCCCATGTCCAATCTACTCGCTCCCACAGTAGCACCAGGCTGGTCTACACACCGCTTTCCAAAGAGGAGTCCCGGCCCCCTTGGCCCTGTGAGCGCAGGTGGGCAGACTCTTCTTCCCTGTCCCTCTCCAGTCGTGCTCTGCTCATGTGCTTCCCTGGTGGCGGCCACGTGGCTTTTCTCTTCTCTGAGGTCTGTCTCTCCTTCCCACAGTTCTGAGCTGAGAAGAACGCTCAGGTTAGGACAGTGAGTGCACGGGAAGGCACTGCCCGGACGCCGCCCCCGGACGCCACCAGGCCCGCAGCTGCTCCACGGGGCACTCGTCCCCGCCCTCCTTGTGTGGGACTGCAAGCAGGGCACCCTGCGCAACACGTCCCAAGCCTGGGAGAGCCCCTGGACGTGAACCGGAGCTCCTGGGCTGGGAGGGATTGGGGTGAGGATGGCCTGTCAGCCGTGAGCACGTGACCCGTCCCCGTGGTTGAAGTGCCACAGGCAAGGTGTGCTGTTCTTAATCAGGGCCTGGAAGAGATGGGTGGCATTTCAGGGGGTTCCGAGGCGCTCCAGTACCGTAGTCTTTTATGTCTCAGCACAGAAGAATTCAACGAGACGCAGAGTGATAGATAAGGAGTGATCTATTGAAATAGGACGTTTGTGAGGCTTACAAGAGGCCAGGTGAGAGAGTGCCATGCTCGAGAGCTTACTGGGCTACAGTTTTATAATCAAATTAGAGCGAGGGAGAAGACCTTCTTTGTCTTTCTTGAGAAGACATCATGCTTCCATCATCAGCTTCTCCAGGTTGAACTTGGGAGTTTTCTTGTCCTTCCATGGTCAAGCTAGGTCCACAAATTATTGTTTTCTCTGTGTGCAGAGAACATGTCCTAACTTACCGAGATCACTGGGCGGGCTGTGGTCTCAGGCCACCATTGTTTTATTACTGGGGGGCATGTCTCATGCTTCTGTTGCATGGATTGGTTGCTAAGCAAGCCTGCTTGGTCTTGTGGTTAAACAGACCTTCTTTTTCAAGTAATCACTAACTTACAAGGGTCTGCTATGATTTTTCTATTCATAATCCCCTATGGGATTTGCTATTTTTTTAGTTTATTTATTTTTAATTGAAGGATGATTATTTTACAATATTGGTTTGATTTCTGCCATACATCAATATGAATCAGCCATAGGTGTACATATGTCCCCTCCCTGTTAAAGCTCCCTTGCACCTCCCACCCTTTCCCACCCCTCTAGGTTGTTACAGAGCCCCGGTGTGAGTTCCCTGAGTTATGAATTATTTAATCACCTACTTTGTCCCTTCCCTCTGCCCCTATCGGTCCTATCCAGTCACACCTGCAGCAGTCTCTCACACTCACTTACAGCCAGCCCAGTACAATTTTTTTAATGCAAGAGAAAGGGGTTAGTTTCAGCTAGTAAATGCCCTGGTCCACCGCTTCTGCAGAGTCCTTCCAAGCAGAATGAGGATGGAGCCATGGCTGTGGTGGCCGTAGTCGCTCTTACAGGCTCCTGCTCGACCCTCTCGGTGGGGGCCAGCTTCTCCTTGCCCCAGGCGGGGGGACTCATGCTGCCCCCGCTGGACAGCTGGCAAAAAGGAGCACTCTCGGCTTAGAGGTAAGCCTCACAGATTGATTCATGAGAGCGGCAAACCAAAAACATCTAGGGCTCAGATGAAAAAACAGCAACAGGAGAAGGATTATGTCTAAGTTATGGTAAATTCACTTAATAGAATAGTCATTGGACATCAAAAATCATCTTTAGGAAGCTTCTGTAGAAACACAGAAAAATATTGACAAAGTGACACTAAGTAAAAAATTTTCACCCAAAATTGCTCACTATGATCACCAGTATGTGACAAAATATGTTTATTTAAAACACAAACAGCACTGGAAGGGTTGCCATTCTGCTCTTGCAGCAGTGCACGCATCACCTCACTTCGTCTCCAGCTGCCGAGTGAGCTTGTTGAAACTTTGCCCCTTTTACAGAGAAGGGACAGAGTCAGAGTGACTCAGTGGGCCTCCCACCCAGGAACTCAGAGCCAGGATTTGGACTCTAGGCTTAATGCTCTCCCTCTCATACCACACTGGTATCAAGATTAGGGAAGGAGACTATCAATATTTTTTTTTCTTTCAGAGTTCCATTTCTGTTTGCCAGTATTGGGAATTATTGGAAATTTCTGAAGGAAGTGTTGGCAGCACATCTGAGAGTGAGGACCAGGGAGATGGTTCTGGTGCAGCCCCTTCAATGCTCTGCTCTCTTCTTCAGGATGACATGGAAGCATACCGGACCCAGAGCCGCTTTCTCAACTCTGAGATCCACCAGGTCACAAAGATCTGGAGGAAGGTGGCTGAGAAGGAGAAGGCCCTCCTGATGAAGGTGAGGGCCAGGGGCCCAGGTCTGGCCAGCTCTGTCTCCGGCCACCCTTCCCGTCCACTCACCCCCTCACCACTATCTCACTCTCTCCTCTTAACCCGACTGCTCGCCCTCCGGACTGCACCCTTGGTGAGCTTTATCCACATGTCAGAGATCTGTGCTCTGCTGACTGCCGCTTCTGATCACGGGGTGAGAGGAAGGGGCAGGCAGCCACCATTGTCCCACCTCCCCACTTTGTAGCAAGCCCTGTCCCCCGTCTAAATCAGCAGCGCACGCATCACCTCACTTCGTCTCCAGCTGCCGAGTGCGCTTGTTGAAACTTTGCCCCTTTTACAGAGAAGGGACAGAGTCAGAGTGACTCAGTGGGCCTCCCACCCAGGAACTCAGAGCCAGGATTTGGACTCTAGGCCTAATGCTCTGCCTCTCATACCTCACTGGTATCAAGATTAGGGAAGGGGACTATCAATATTTTTTTTTCTTTCAGAGTTCCTTTTCTGTTTGCCAGTATTGGGAATTATTGGAAATTTCTGAAGAAGTGTTGGCAGCACCTCTGAGAGTGAGGACCAGGGAGATGGTTCTGGTGCAGCCCCTTCAATGCTCCGCTCTCTTCTTCAGGATGACATGGAAGCATACCGGACCCAGAACCGCTTTCTCAACTCTGAGATCCACCAGGTCACCAAGATTTGGAGGAAGGTGGCTGAGAAGGAGAAGGCCCTCCTGATGAAGGTGAGGGCCGGGGGCCCAGGTCTGGCCAGCTCTGTCTCCGGCCACCCTTCCCGTCCACTCACCCCCTCACCGCTGTCTCACTGTCTCCTCTTGACCCGACTGCTCGCCCTCCGGACTGCGCCCTTGGTGAGCTTTATGCACATGTCAGAGATCTGTGCTCTGCTGACTGCCGCTTCTGATCACGGGGTGAGAGGAAGGGGCAGGCAGCCACCATTGTCCCACCTCCCCACTTTGTAGCAAGCCCTGTCCCCCGTCTAAAGTAACTGCCCAGGGATTTAAAGGGCCAGCAGCCTTCCCCCCCACCCTCTGCCCACTTCATACTTCTCTTTTTCCCCTTTTGGGAGCCAGGTATTACCTATATATTCCAAAACAACCGCAAATGTGGGGGAAATTAGAAAGTGACCACACGTGTCCCAGCAAAGGTGCAGAAAAGACCTAAGAACTTAAGTTTGTACCTCAGGCTGCCCTTGAGGCGTAAACAATAAAAACAAAAACAGCAAACCCTAGAGTAAGAGGGGGAATCTGATTTCCAGAGTTACCACTGTCAGTTTTAATAATATAGTGGCTAGTTATTTTACAAGCAAGAGCGAGTTTATTCAGGACTAACCAGAGGAATTGCAACTTGGGATCCATGAACTGTGGTGAACCGCAGGCAAATTCAAGGAACAGGGAAGGGAAACTTGCTTTTTATAGGGAAACGGGAAGGGTTAGGAGGGACTGTGATAACCAGAAAGTCCACTAGAGGAAACCGGGAGCCCCAGGTATGGAGGCTGCCCATTGGTTGGACGGCTGAAGTCTCTGCTTTTCCTGTTGGAGAATGAAGCGGAGGCACCCGCCCATCAGAGATGAGGTGTGCACCTCTTCCTGCTTGGAGGAATTAGTGTTGCCGGTGACAGGACCTGAGAGGTCCCCATACAGGCCTGACCGGACTCTTCTCTTCGCTGAGCTTTCTCTAATTAATTCCACCCCATCTTATTAGGTTCAGATGTTCCATTTTCAACAAAATATCACGAGGCATACTAAGAACAGGAAGATATGGGGGCAGGCAGATGGGGAGTGAGCAGCGTGTGCCCCACGAGGTGGGAGAGAGGTGGTGTGCTGGAGGACTGGAACAAGCCCCCCAGGTGACATTAGAAGGCACAAGGGCAGTGTCCAGAGCTCCACGTCCATCCCCGGGGCACTGCTCGGGTGTACCCCTACCGGGAGCCTGCTCTGGGCCGAGTGCCCTGCAAGGGCTTCAGATGCCTTGGCTCATCCGAGTCACGCAGGAATTCTGAGGCAGAGTCTGTTGTCCGCAGTGTTCGGATGAAGACACTAAAGCGCACAGAGGTTAATAATTTCGCTCTGGTCACCCCGCCTGTGGGGCTGAACTAGGATGGGACTGCAGGCCATGCGAGAGCCGGTGCTGCCCCTGCCCACCTCCCCCCTCTTGTTTCTGAATCCAGCTGCAGCCCCGGGCCTGGTTCTCTCGCCTGGAGCCCTTTCCGCCTTCCTGTAAACTCCTGCATTCAGGGCTCCTCTCCTGTTCATATGAGTGGCTGGGGTGGCGGAGGTGAGGGGCAGTGGGAGGTGAGAGCTGGAAGAAGGGCTGGACTGCCTAAAGCGGTTCAGGGCTCTGGTCCGAGCCCAGCCAGGTGGCCTGACCACCGCCACCCCTCCCTCCCGCAGTGCGCCTACCTCCAAGCCCAGAACTGTCGGGTGGAGAGCAAGTACCTGGCGGGCCTGCGGAGGCTGCAGGAGGCTTTGGGGGTGGAGACCGGCGAGTGCTCCGAGCTCCTGAGGCAGCTCATCCAGGAGGCGCTGCAGTGGGAAGCCAGCGAGGCCTCGGCCGAAAGCGTCGTGCTCGGCCCCAGCACCGTCAGGTGAGCCGAGAGCAGGACTGGGTCTGCAGGCCCCGGGTGCCGCCAGCCACCCTGCTGCCCGTCCTGCTGACCGTGTGTGAGCCTGCCCATCCCTCACCTCCTTGGACCTTCAGACAGATGAGCGTGTGGATGGGACGAACCCCATTTTATAGCAGAGAGGTGCCGCAGGCACAGAGGCGGCAGGCCCCCCCCAAGGCCACACAGCACGTTAGTGTAGCTGACATGGGCCTGCCTCCCGAGTTCTGTTTTCTTCCCGCTGCCCCAGACTGTCTCCCAGAGGTCTTTGTCAGAGAGGGGAGGAGGGGACACAAGCCACCTGCCTCCTCTGAGCCAAGCCTTTGCTGAGGACAGTGGACCTGGGCAGTTAAATAAAACAGAAGGGGCTGTAGCTGGGGTCGAAGGTCCCTAGAGGCTGGGTGGTCCAGTGGCCTGCACCCAGGCTTTGGAGGCGGATTTGGCTTTCTCACTGTGTAACCTTGGACAAGTCACTTTACCTTTCTGAGTCTCCTACTCAGCCTCCCTAAGGCATAGGCTGAGATCACCAGCTTCGCAGGATCATGAGGATTAAATGAGACAGCACAGGCAGAGCACATAATAGGGGCAAACGAATGCTGACTGGTGAGAGGCTCTGTGGGGTGGGTCTCTGCTGCCCGGTCCTGCTGCTGCTTTTGCTGCCTGCTCCCCATCTGGCCTTGGGCTTCCTGGCTGCGGAAGTGTGGCTGTCCAAGGGTAGTACAGGCCTCCTTGGACCTACGGCTTCATGGAGTAATAAGAGGGTTCTTTTTTTTTTTTTTAATACTTATTTCTTTGCTGCATCAGGTCTTAGTTGCAGCGTGCAGGATCTTTGCTGCATTCTGCAGGATCTCCCATTGTGTCGCACAGACTCTAGTTGTAGCACGTGCCCCAGAGCGCACAGGCTTCATTAGCCGCAGCGCATGGGCTTAGCTGTTCCACAGCCTGTGGGGTCTTAGTTTCACAAGCAGGGATTGAACCCACATCCCCTGCATTACAAGGCAAGTTCTTAACCACTGGACCACCAGGGCAGTCCCGAGGGCCCTTTATATTTGCACAGAATGAGCATATCTCGTTTAGCACTTGCTATGTACCACGCACTGCCCCTAGCAGTTTACATCCAAGGATCTCCCTGGGTCTTCATGAGGCAGTGCAGAGGCCCCATACCCACTGTACAGAGCAAACAGGTCCGGGGCACTGAAGTGGCCTGCCCAGAGTCACATGGCCAACCTACAGTAAAGCCCTGCAGGCTCCCTGCCCGGGCCCCCGTCTCCTCACTGCCCCTTATCTGGGGAAGGGCCTTGCAAAGTGTCGCTGACCTGGGCTTTTGCTGGCAGTGAGTATGACAAGTACGGCTTCCTGACGGTGCCCAGCTACGAGGTGGAGGACCTGAGGCTGCTGGCCAAGATCCAGGCGCTGGAAGTGCACTCCCACCAGCTGCTGGCCCACGAGGTTGTGCAGCGGCCACTGCGGGAGCGCTGGGCCGCCCTGGGCGAGCTGGCCCCCTCAGCAGAGCTCAAGCAGCTGCTGCGGGCGGGCGTGCCCCACGAGCACCGGCCGCGTGTCTGGAGGTGGCTGATCCGCCTCCGCGTCCAGCACCTGCAGGCCCCCGGCTGCTACCAGGAGCTGCTGAGCCGGGGCCAGGCCTGCAAGCACCCTGCTGCCCGCCAGATTGAGCTGGACCTGAACCGGACCTTCCCCAACAACAAGCACTTCACCTGTCCCACCTCCGGCTTCCCTGACAAGCTCCGCCGGGTGCTGCTGGCTTTCTCCTGGCAGAACCCCACCATCGGCTACTGCCAGGGCCTAAACAGGTAAGCTACGCAGCCTCGACCTTCCAGGGCACCTCTCTGTCCCTTTCAAGCCACCCAAGGAGCCAGGGAGGTCGAGCAGACGGGCACAAGCAGGTGCAAGAACAAGTTGAAGACAGAGTCGGGCCAGAGCCCCAGGCGCTTCGCCCCGTGGCCGCCCCGTGACGCGTCCTCGGGGTGCTGCCCCTCCCACGGAGAGCACGCGAGAGGGCCGCTGGGGCCGTGTGGCCCTCTGCCGGCTCCCGTCCTGCACACTGCCTGGGTCAGGGATCATCGCTTTGAGCAAACCCACTCGGAGGAGCCCAAGGAAAAGAGATTTGTAAGTGTACCCAAGGAGCCAGGGAGGTCGAGCAGACGGGCACAAGCAGGTGCAAGAACAAGTTGGAGACAGAGTCGGGCCAGAGCCCCAGGCGCCTCGCCCCGTGGCCGCCCCATGACGCATCCTCAGGGTGCTGCCGCTCCCACGGAGAGCACGCGAGAGGGCCGCTGCGGCCGTGTGGCCCTCTGCCGGCTCCCGTCCTGCACACTGCCTGGGTCAGGGATCATCGCTTTGAGCAAACCCACTCGGAGGAGCCCAAGGAAAAGAGATTTGTAAGTGTTCCAGAGGGAGCTCCCGAGAGCCGGGAAAGGAAGCAGAGCCGGGGGCAGACGGTCGTTTCTAGCCAAGGCAGCCGCTGTCCCTAGTGGGGCCGCAGCACAGCCCCGGGCTGCCGTTCGTGCCGGTCCCTGAGACGGCGCAGCCCTCCGTGGAGGTCTCTGACCTCTCGTGATGCACGGCCGCTTCCTTCTCTCAGCAGACCAGCCTCACTCGTTCTGTGGATGTTTCCGGCCCATCAGGACTGTCCGAACAGAGACCTTGGCCCCTGAGTCACGGCTTTCAGCAGCCCACTTGTTGACACCCTCACGTCGCAGGCCTAAATTCCCAGAGGAAGGAGGCTGGCCCAGCCTGGACTAATGTTTCTTTCTGGTTCAACAGCAGGAGACGAGGGGCGGTAGGGCGGGGCTGGGACGGGGTGACTTGGTAGGGCCGGGGCTCCGGCCAGCTCTGTCTTCAACATGTCCTTTCGCCTGCTTGTCCCCACCCGTTTGACCTCGCTGACTTCTTGGGAGGCTCCGAAGAGACAGAGAGGGGCCTTTCCAGTACTGTGGGGAGCTCTCAAGGCTGTCCCCATAGAGGTGGCCTAATCTCAAATGTTTCCCAAAGCAAGTTTTGGTTCAACTTAATTTAAACACATATATACTCAGACAAAATTTACATAAGCCATTCATATATAAGCTCTTTTTTCAGAATAGTAAGTGTATGCATTTATTTAACACAGAATAAATATTCAGAGTGTCCCTACTCAAATTGGAATGGTTCCCAAAGGTAGCTGTTTTTAATACCTTTTTCCCAGCTCAGATTGGGTGAAACTGAGGATTTGTTGTTTAGTTGCTAAGTCATGTCCCACTCTTTGCGACCCAATGGACTGTGGCCTGCCAGGCTCCTCTGCCCATGGGATTTCCCGGGCAAGAATACTGGAGTGGGTTGCCATTTCCTTTTCCATGGGATCTTCCCGACCCAGGAATCGGACCTGCATTTCCTGCACTGGCAGGCGAATTCTTTACCACTGAGCCACCTGGGAAGCCCTGTACATGTTCAGTTTCTGGGAATTCAGAGTTAAACCTGAACAGTAATAATGCCTCTCACTCTGCGCCTCTTTGGAAACTTGTTCGGATTTCCCACTGCTCTAAACATCTGCTGTAGGGGATGTCCGTAGAAATTTATACATTTATTCATTCAGCAGCTGAGCAGAAACATGCTCACTTATCTGTTTGGACATGTTAAAATTCAGAAAGGACAAAACTTTTGAATCCTCTTTAAGATGAGATTTGAAGGGAGCTGAAAGCTGTGAGATTAGTATGAATGATTTGTACATTTCATGCAAAGGTCGGGTAGGAGCTAAGACTTAATGAGAGCCTGCTGGATGCCAGGTACATACCTGATGTCATCTAATCCTCAGGAAAGCCCTGAGAGGTAGGCGTTGGTGCCCACATTGCCCCGCTGACACAGAGATTGTCTGAGAAGCTAAGGAACTTGACCTGGGTCTCACTATGCATAGGGGCTGAGCCAGCTGCTAACCCTGGTCTCCAGCCCCCAGACCTGGTCCTTCCTACCGTCTGCCCATACTCACAAAGGGAGCTGTGGCAGAGAGTGTGCTGAGAGCACGCAGAAACTTTTCTTCCTGATCAGATTTAACTTTTTTGAGAACAAGAATGGGGTTAGCCACATATGAGTTTTGGAGTCTAATCTATGCTGAAGGAGCAGGGGGAAATTCCCATAGCAGGAAGGAAAGAAGCTTCTCCCGGGGTGGAAAGCGGCTGCACAAAGGCTGCTGAGGGCTCCAGAGGAACAGCTGAGACCAAGGCCTGGGGGATTCCTTTCCTTTCTTTGAACGCTGTACTTGTTGGCTTTTAGGCAGATATTCATACTATTGCTTTAAGTAGAAGGTTATTTGTACGGTCCATGGGATCCCAAAGGAGTCGGGCATGGCAGAGCGCACGCGCACACACACGTGCACACATATTTCTAATAGAGCCTGTTGAAATGTGGAGAGTGCGCTGTATTCTCTCAGAGGCCCTCCACATCCAGCCCCTTTCATTTGTCTGAGCGCTGCTATCCGGTGGCAGCCATTGGAACTGCATGTGTGGCGTCTCAGGAGGACAGAACCTGCTTTTATGCAACAAGCCCAGCCTGTTTAGAGCAAGACAGATATCATAGTAATGATTTAATGCTAATTCAGAGCAAACTTTTAAAATTCATTTCTGTCTAATATCTAAGTAGAGGTATTTAAAGTATTAATAGTTTTTTCTTTCCCACATCACCCTCCTTTGCAGACCTTCTCAGGGCCTGAATGTATTCAGCTGGAGTCTGGCCGTAGCCCCAAGAGGTTGCTAGGCCCCAGTGAATGCCAGCAGCCTCTCATCACTGACCATTTCTCCCCACCGGTTTTAAGTGTACAACTCAACAATCTGGAGTAAATCACAGCGTTGTGTCGCTATCACCACAGTTCAACTTTAGAGCATTTCCATCACCCCTAAAAGACATCTTGTACCAATTCGCAGTCACTTTCCACTCCCACCTGCAGCCCTGGACAACGACAAATCCCCCTTCTGTTTCTGTGCGTGCTCTTGTTGTGGACACTCACGTGCCCGTCAGATGATGTGTGGTCATTCGCATCGAGCTTCTTCCCTTAGCATGTTCTTGAGGCTCATCCTCGTCACACCATATGTTTTGTTCTTTTTTTACCGACCTGCGTTCCACTGCATGGATGTGCCATACTCTTGAGTATCCACTAACCAGCTGATGGGCGTTTGGATTGTTCCTACCTTTTAACTATTATGGATAATGCCATGAACATTCCTGGGCAATGTATTCTCAGAGTCACCCTGGGGACTTCCCTGGCGATCCAGTGGTTAAGACCTGTGCTTCCACTGCAGGGGACACAGGTTCAATCCCTGGTCAGGAACTAAGATCTTGAATGCTGTTTGGCACAACCAAAAAGACAAAAAAAAAAAAAAAGGATTCACCCTGGATGAAATCTGCCAGGGAAGGGGAGAAAATAGTGCTTCTTCCAGGCAGAGCACTGGGGAGTTTTCTCCTTTTTTACCCATGGTCTCTAGAGCCTTGTGGTAGCTCTGGGGCGGGGGGAAGCAAAGGAGAGAGAGAACCCTGAGCCCTGAGCACCGTAGGTGCCAGACAGTGAGAAGATGCTGCTGTCTGTCTCCTTCATGCCCCACAGGCCTGGGAGGGGGAGGCCGTTAGCCCCACTTGACAGGTAAGGAGAGTGAGGCTGAGAGAGATTAACACGCTTGCCAAGGTCTCAAAGCCCGTGAGTGTTAAGATGAGGGTAGCTAAACCTTATAAAGTGATCTCACTGCACGTTAGGCACCGTGTATGCCTGCTAAGTCACTTCGGTCGTGTCCGACTCTTTATGACCCCATGGAGCCTGCCAGGCTCCTCTGTCCATGGAATTCTCTAGGCAAGAATACTGGGGTGGGTTGCCATGCTTCTCCTCCAGGGAGTCTTCCCAACCCAAGGATCGAACCTGCGTCTCACATCTTCCACGTTGGCAGGTGGGTTCTTTACCACTCACGCCACTTGGGAAGCCCATTAGGCACTGCACTAGGCAGTTCGTGTGCATTTACTCTGTTCATCCTTGTATCAGTCCTGTGATTATCACGAGGCTGAGGCTCAGAGAGGGTAAATACCTTGCTCACCATCACCCAGCAAGGAAGCTACAGGACGGGCATTCACACCCAGGCAACAGGACTCCAGAGGCCCTGCTCTAAGATGATCCCCGTTGCTCCATAAATCCGCTAGGTTGTCCTCTTAAAAAGCATGTTCATCTCGCCCGTTTCTGGGAACACCAGCCTGGTTGGGGAGTGTGGTGGGGAGGACACGCCCCAGGGAGCCGCACCTGCCCCGGTGTGACAGCCGCGAGTCACTCCAGGCCTCCGCTCCTCCCGCTGCAGGCTGGCGGCCGTCGCTCTGCTGGTCCTGGGTGAGGAGGAGAGCGCCTTCTGGTGTCTGGTGGCCATTGTGGAGACCATCATGCCAGCCGACTACTACAGCAAGATGCTCTTGGCATCCCAGGTGAGCGGGCAGGGAGAGGATTGGGGGCCACGCAGGCTGGCGCCGCTGAATTGTTCCTAGAAGCCAATGAATCTCTGAATCAATGAATAAACCCTGCTCTGGGACTGCTGTGATATTCCAGCGAGCTGATGGCCTTGAGATTGTCAGGCCCTGCCGACACCATAGGGTGTTGTTACTCCAGTGAGGACATTATGTTATGAGAGACAGCAGATATCCTAGGAAGGGAGGAGGGGAAAATCTAGTGTAACTTGGTGTTGGCCAGCTAAGAGTTTCAGAAGAGAGGTCAGGTAACAAGGAAGCGGGGACTTGGGAGGGCGGGATGACCGGGATGCTTCACACGCTCACATAATCGCCTACTGAGAAGCACAGCTGCCTCTGTCCCCTCACAACCCCTCCACCGCCCTCTGGGCACAGGCCAGCCCTGGGGTCAGGCAGAGCTAGGCTCAGAACCAGCCCCTCGGCAAACTGTCTTGTGCCCTTGGCAAGTGGCATCCCCTCTCCGAACCTCAGGCCTGCCTGCTTCTGAAGGAGAGTAGCATTGCTTCCTGGGATTGTTGAGAGGTGTAAATGCGAGACCATCTCACAGCTCCTCCCTCCAGCCTCTCCCTCCTCACCGCTTGTCCTATTCTTGCTGTATCGGTGCATCTGCTTGATGAAGAGACAGATGCTACTCAGAGGGACCCTTCTCACTCCCCATCAAAAGCTGCCAAGCCACGACCTGCACACCCCCCACCGCGACCCCCACCCTGTTCCCCCTTCCTACTGTTTTCTCCTTCTGGGTGGAGAGGTGAGGAGAGAGATCGGGGGGAGATGAACACTTAGCAGTCATCAGGAAACATGGTGAACCAGGTGAGGCTTGAGTTTTGCTCTGTGGCAGGGAGGCCCAACTTAAGAATGCCTGTTTTGGGAGCTTCCAGCGACTTTTTTGTTGATGGCTATTCAGCAGTTGTTTGTGATTTTGGTATTTTCATAAGAAGGGGTGAGTTCACTTCCTTCTGTTCCTCCAACTTGAGCTAATCTCTCCTAATAGTGGCTTATATGGGGGAATATTTTTCACAGACAGTGAGCAAGCTAAAGGCTCCTTCTGGCTGTCTGTTCTGATCACAGGATGGCCATACCATCTCTGGTCATGTATTTTCTAAAATACAGAAAATTTCAAATGTACAAAAACAGAGAAAAGTGTAGTGGACCTTCACATATTCATTACCTAGCTTCAATAATTATCAACACAGGGAGCCCAGTACTGTTCTCATATATACTCACACCACTCCCCCTACTTTGATGGCCTTGAAGTAAATCTCAGACATCATCAGTCCATCCATGCATCCTTCAGTGGGTTCAGAGGCATCTTAGATTTAGTGAGTTACCCTAGGCTTTGAGCTCCATAGCAGACCTGGAGTTCAGGGTGAGGAAGGAAGGAAGAGGGTGTTCACCACAGCCGAGAGCTAAGCCTGGAAGAAGACTTGGACAGGGGGAGAGGGCTGAGAAACCAGCAGTTCCAAGGAAGAAAGAGCAAAAGGACCCTAAAATGAGCTCATCACTGAGATAGGAGGCAACCACAGAACAACCATATCCTAGGGCAGGGAAGGAGCCAGTGCTGGGAGTGATCAGCCAGGTCCAGTGAAACTCCGGGCCCCACGACCTTGCCCTGAGATTCTCGTGCATCAGACCCAAAAAAGGTGCAAAGTCGTGGCTGTGGTGTCAACCGATCCCAGCCTCAGCTCCTGCTTGGCTTGGGGTTCAGGACAAAGGGACCCAAACCCCACAGGCTCAGAACTTCTGATCTACGGAGACCTCTGCATCAGAGCTCCAACCTGGAAGGCTGCTCGCCTGTGGAGTGATGTGTCTCCCTGTCAGGCTGGGCACCAGCTCCTCTGGACACGCTGCGCCCGCAGACGGGGCAGCCCCCACTGGGAGCGGCCCCAGGGCGGTGTGTGGGCTGGCTGAGAGTGAGGGGCAGAGGGGAAGCAGGCAGGGTGGCAGCCCACAGACCCTCTCCTGGCTGCAGGTGGACCAGCGAGTGCTCCAGGACCTCCTCTTGGAGAAGCTGCCCCGGCTGACGGCCCACCTGGGACAGCGCCGCGTGGACCTGTCCTTCATCACCTTCAACTGGTTCCTTGTGGTCTTTGCGGACAGTCTCATCAGCAACATCCTCCTCCAGGTCTGGGACGCCTTCCTCTACGAGGGCATCAAGGTAGGGCGCTGCAGAGGGTGAGCGGGAGGGTCCTGGAGAAGCCCCTGCCTGCTCTGGGTCTTGGCTCTGCCCCTGGATTCTGCCTCTGAAGACCGTCCTAGAGCTGGGAGGATTCCCCTCCCCTGGACAGGGGGCTCCAGCCTCCCCGGAAGGCACGTCACTACTGCCTCCTCCCCCTCCTGTTCAGACTGAGCCCTAGATGGGGGGCTGCTCCCAGCTCTGCCCTTTTCCTTGTGAGGAGACCCTGGGCAGGCCCTCCCCTGGCCTCTGCCATGTTTCCCCATGGCGGTGGACCTCACAGTTCACCAAGCACCCTCGGATCCATCTCTCCATGAAACTCCTGCTGGCACCCCATGTAAAGACAGGGTTACCCTCATTAGATCCAACAGGGGCAACAGCTTGCCCAGGCTCCCTGCACAGTCAGACAGACAGGCTCCCACCCCCCAGATTGCCAGCTGAGCTCCCCCATGGGGTTTCCAGCCACCCCCCGCCTTGGCTTTGCCCCACATGTTTCTTCCAAGCCTCCAATCTCTGCAGCCTGTCCAGGGCTATCCACACCGCCTGGGGGTGTGGGTTCTGGGGCTTCCCTGCCCTGGCTCCCCATTCCCCACCCTGAACCCCACTCTGCCCCCCAGGTGGTGTTCCGCTATGCCCTGGCCATCTTCAAGTACAATGAGGAGGCACTCCTCAGGCCACAGGACAGCCTGGAGATCTACCAGTACCTGCATCTCTTCACCAAGACCATCTGTGACAGCCGGTGAGGCCCGCCCCCGCCCTGCCCCTCCACCTGCCCAGGACACCAGCAGCGGGGCGGCTGGTGTTCCCAGTGCAGACTCGTTAGCAGCACTGATCCTCCATCACAGCTCAGACATCTTTAGGGACGTTCCACTGCCTCAGAATCTCTCTGTCCCCTTAACATGGCCTTCAAGGACCCCACGCAGTTTTGTTTCTAGCCCACCTTCTCCTGCCCCCAACACCCATGCCCTAGGATCCTGCCAAACAGAGCTATGTGAGTTCCCAGGACAGCCTTCATCTCTGAGCTTCTGGCCCTACAGGTTCTTCTGCTTAGAATGCCTCCCTGCACTCCCACCAGCCCCGTCTTTGTCTGGCCCACCAGTGCTTTTTCCTCAAAACTCAGCTCACAGTCCCCTCCTCCAGGAAGCCTTCCCTGACCAACTTGCTCTTCCAGGGTTAGAGGTCGCTCAGCCCTAAGCTTCCTCTGGCCTCAGTACTTACCCTTTGGGTGGAAACTCTTCTCCATCAGTTTCCTCTCAGGAAGGGGCCTCAGCCGCCTGAGCGGAGTGAGTGCCGGGGCGCCCAGGACGCCCGCTGACCCTGACTCTGCTCTCCCCGCAGGAGGCTGATGCATATCGCCTTCAACGACATGAACCCCTTTCCCTTGAAACAGCTGCGCCAGCTGCGGTCGGCCCACCGGGAGCGGCTGGAGGCGGAGCTGAATGAACTGGAGCAGCTCAAGGCCGAGTACCTGGAGACCCGGGCGGCCCAGGGCCCCTCGGCGCCCGAGGGCTGCCCCAGCGAGGACGAGGGGGACGCAGAGCCCTGACGTGGCCGCCCGCGCTCCCCAAGCCCCTTCTCGCCCTGGGCCGGCAGGCCCAGAGTTGGACGGCCGTGGAGCGCTGCGTGACCCTGGGCAGGTCCCTTCTGCTCTCTGGGGCCCAGTCTCCCCACTGCAATGCTGGCTTCTGAAGCCGCTGGTTGGGTTTTCTCCTCGTGAGCACACCCGGGATGCACCCCTTCTCACTTCCCCCACAGAGCACTTTAGTACCTAGACAAGCAAGAGTGCTGTCTTTATAGGGTAACCTTGAACATTCTCCAAGTTTTATCTGTGTATAACAGTGTGAATACTGGAAATAGTTCACAAGCTCTGGAACCTAAACAGTTCTCAGTAACTGGTTGTCCCTGGGTGGGCCTGGGGCTCCAGGATGTCACACCACCGGGGCCTTCTCGGCCCAGGACGTCCCGGCTGCTGTTTCTCACGCTGTCTCTGCAGGGCCAGTCCTGGTTCCTGGAGGAGCTGGGTCCGTATGCCTTTACCGCTCCTGTCTTTGTGGGTGACAGCGTCTCTCAAATACTGGCTGGGCGTTTGATCCAGGCCCAGCTCCCACCTACCCGTTTTACTGAGCCTTGCACCTGCCCTCTCATTTTTCCTCACAGCTCATCTGGGGTGTTGGGGGGTTTCCAGGGAAACCCCTGTCCACCATCAAGAGAAACTTGGTGCAGGGATTGAACAGAGAGCCCTGGTTAGCTGCCCAAAGTCTGATCTCCCACCACCAACTTCATAGTCAGGGGCAAGAAGAGTCACCTCTTTGAAAACTGGTGGTTGGGAGAGAGTGAGAAAAGGTGGTGAGACAGACAGCCTGCGGCCAAGTCAGGGCTGGCTTGTGCAGAGCTCAGCTCCAGTTCTTCTGGGCTCTTCCAGGCCCTTCCTCAGCAGACAGGCTTCCCCCATCCCGCTCCGTGCAGGGGTCGAGACTGCACAAGTGATGTGGGCAGCTCATTCCTCAGCAAAGCCTGTGACTGTCTGCCAGGCTAGCCTTGGGCTCAGCAATCTTTGCTATGAGGGACTAGGGTGGGGGTTCTCACAGAAAAGCCTCCTGCTCTGATCCAAGGTTCTTTTCGAGGCTTGGGAAGGAGGCCACACCCATTGCTGGGGACAAGGGACAGGCCCTTCTCTCACCCACAGTGTGAACTTGGAGGGGTTGGCGCAGCAGACCCCTTGTTCCCTCCCATCACCACCCCCACCAGCCCCAGGGAGGGGACCCTCGGGGTTCCCTTTCTCCCACATCCATCAGGGCGGCTGGCCAGCTCCGTTTCCTGTGAACACTCTACACCAAGGCTTGATGGCCCTTTCATACTTGCTAAACTTTTTTCGTCTGCTGAGGTCTTTTCATCACCAAACAGTACCTGAAGCATGATGGTGGTCTTAGGGCAGCCTGGGGGGGTGGGGGGGCCCTGGCTGCACCCCCAACAGTTGCAGGCTGTATCCCTCAGGACCATCACCAGGAAGACCAGGGGTCTGGCCTCCCGGAACGCCGGGAGGGTTAAAGGAGATGACACTGGTGCTGAGTCTGATTGCCCGGCAGAGTGAAGCAGCAGCCTGGGCAATGAAGACAGCATAAAGACCGCATCACCAGGAGGGCCCTAAGGGCCAGGAAAGGCCCGAGGTTCCAGGAGAGACTGGGTCCAGCTGGTCCCTCTGACTCCAGCCTGTAAAACCAGATTCCCTCCTCAGCAAAAACAAAGCACGTGACCCCAGCTCAGACCAGGGCTGCTGGATAAAGCACCCCCACCCCTGCCGTCCCGTCTGCCACCCGCCTCTGCCCCCGCTTCCCTCTCATCTTTCCTCTTCACTTGCCTTCCCTCTGCCTCATCTCTCCCTGCCGCCCCCCCCACACACACACACAGACACACACACACATATCATCTCTCCCTGCCCGCCCCCCACCACACACACCCCCCACGCCCAGGCAGGGAAGTTCTGCCCGAAGCTGAGTGTGTGTCCCCTGCTCTGCCCTCGCTGGGAGCGGTGGTACTGAGCCGCTGAGCCAGCACCGTGTCACCACAGTACCAGCTGAGTGCTGGCTCGGAGCCTGCTGGGGGGCGTGGGTGCTGTGGTCCAGCGACAGGGCTGGGGACCACCGGCAACGAGGACTGACCAGGGGGCCTCCAGCCTGGCATCGAGGAGCTGGAGTGGGAGCCAGGAATGTGAGCTGCCTGTCCCAGAGCACCCACTCACTCCAGATAGAGCTCGGTTGACAGATGAGGCCACGGCTCAGAGAGGTTAACCAACTTGCCCAAAGTCACAAAAGCCACAAGTGTTTCAGTCATGCTCAAGCCTTAGAGGCTGCTAGCTGGAAAATCCAGGGAGAGCTCCTCCAAGCTAGAACACCTCCCCCAGAACCGAGGAGAAAGAGCAAGCTTGGCCTATGGCCTCCTGAGCCATGAGGGCCGCCAGTGGGGATACCCCAGGCAGAGGAAATCGGGAGGAAGGACCATCTGCCTGACGAGAGGCTGCAGCAGGGGCGCGGGGGTGGCGGGGGTGGGGCGAACGCTGAGACTCTCCGGGGCGCTGCTGCGCCTGGGAGCCGGCCCCCCCTCCCTCAGCTCTTCCCGAAAGGCACTCAGGGCCCAGCCCCAGTGTCAGGTTCCTGGCCCCTCACCACAGCTGTTGCCCCCACCATCCCCAGGGACTGCTGCCTTGCTGGCTGGAGGATCTGATCCCTCACAGCCCCACCTCCCTACCCCAGGGCTGGGCCCCCCAGCTCAGAGCATCCCCCTCCCAGACACGAGGCCCCCAGCAATCAGGACACGCTCCATCCTACAGGTGAGGGAAAGGAGTTGCCCAGGGTACCTTCCTGGGGCAATATCCCCAAGAATAAAGGGGCTTCAAAACGGGAGGGGCGCTGTGGGAGACCCCGCCCTGCAGTGGGAGACGCACGTGCACCTCTACAGGATGTTTGTGCCCAGGGTACTCTCCTGCATGTTCGGAACCAACCCCTAACCCTGACCCTCCCAGGCGCGCACGTCCCCGCCTTCCTCAGCTCAGCCAGCCACGGGCACAGTGCCACGTTGTAGAGAAAGCTCCATGTGGGGCAGATAGGGGAGAACTTGCCACCTTCCCTCACACACCTACGCACGTACACACACAGGTTCTGGTCACCCAGAAGACATTCACCCACACATGGCAGGTTAATTTAAAAAAAAAGTTTGGCCCCACCACACAACATACAGGATCTTACTTCCCCAACCACCGGTTGAAACCTGCACCCTCTGCCTTCGAAGTGCAGAGTCTTAACCACTGGACCACCAGGAAAGTCCCAACACACAGCAAATTAAACAAAGGCCACGCTGACACAGGAAGGTGTTGGATTTCTGGCCAATCTCAATCAGCAATAAGGCCCAATAGAAGGTCCTAGCAGATGGACCCAACTTTGGGACCAGACCTATTGTGTGTTTCCTAGCTAGAGACCCCTGGATAGGTCATTCCCATTCTGGCCTCAGTTTCTCCACGTGTGCAATTCAGAGAGCGGGTGAGGTTGATGTTCAGTTGCTCAGTCATGTCCGACTCTTTGCGACGCCATGGACTGCAGCATGGCAGGCCTCACTGTCCCTCACCTCCCGAAGTTTGCACAAGTTCACGTCTATTGCATCCGTGATGCCATCCAGCCAGTCATCTTATCCTCTAACACCCTCTCCTTCTGCCCTCAGTCTTTCCCAGCATCAGGGGCTTTTCTAATGAGTCAGCTGTTAACATCAGATGACCAAAGTCCTGGAGCCTCAGCTTCAGCATCAGTCCTTCCAACAAGTATTCAGGGTTGATTTCCCTTAAGATTGGCTGGTTTGATCTCCTTGTTGCCCAAGGAACTCTCCGGAATCTTCTCCAGCACCACAATTCGAAGCCATCAATTCTTTGGTGCTCTGCCTTCTTCGCAGTTCAACTCTCACAACTGTACGCGATCACTGGGCAGGTAGCCTTCATCAAATGGACCAGCGTTAGGGGGACGGAAGGGGCAGGAGGATGAGGAGCATCTCTAGGAAGAGTCCCAGGTTGGTCTATTGCAGAACCCTCCAATGGCCTCCCCACTGGTCCATATGTCCAGGCCCCCCTGAAAGGTCCCTGTCAACCCGCCTTTCCCCAAACACAGTCCCAGCCACCCACTATCATGGCACTGAGGGGTAAAAGGCAGATACGCGGCTGGGAGGGCACATCCGCTGGAATCTGGGAGGACTTCCCAGAGAGGGACGTTGGTACCAGCCCTGGAAGGAAGGACAGTAGGAGGTGAGGGGAGAGAAGTCCAGGCAGAGGGGGGAGCGTGAACAAAGGCATAGACATGTGACAGAGCGCGGGGCGGGGGATGCACCAGTTACTGGCCACCGCACTAGGCGAATTAACACTTACTGAGCCACGCACTGCTCTAGCTCCTGGACATACAACGCTAAACAAAGAGCTCTTCACAAGAGAGGTGGTGTGGTCTGTAGTTACAAGCTTGGGCTTGGGAGCCACTCTGCCTAGGGTTGAATTACTCCGTGTGTGATCTGCGGCAAACTACTTAACCTCTCTGTGTCTTAGCTTCCTCGTGTAAAACAGATGAGTAACGGGTAACCTCACAGGTTTGTGTGACGTAAGCTATGGTGATGCATTGAAGGTGCCTAGAACTGTGCCCGGTTCATTAAGTGCTGGCTGGTGGTATTCCCAAAAGGCTGGACCACCCTCATCTCTGTCCCAGCGCCTAGCGTGCAAAACCCCACAACCGGCGAGAACGGGCAGCAGCGCCCCCTCCTGGCCGCAGAGAGAAAGAAGGGCGTCCGCGGGGCCCTCCCCGCCCTCTTCCTGCAGGCGGGCTGAGAAGCCTCAGGAATTACTCCACCGGCCCAGGTCGCTCGCTGAGCGCCGCTCCCGAGGCCGCCTCTGCGCAGCACTTCAGCAGGCGGGTAAATGAGATCGTCTCATCTAATTTTCAAACAGCTCTCTGAGGCAGACACAGTTACTGTTTCCCTTTCACCAGGGGAGAAACTGAGGCTCCCGGAAGGTCGAGTCCCTTGTTCCAAGCCACTCGGCGAGGGAGCGGCGGGACGCGAAGGCAGGCGAGTGTGACTGTCCCCAGCCTCGGCTCGGTTAGCCGGGCAGCCCGCCCCAATCACTGCGGCGTGTGCACGCCGGTGTGCGCGCCCGTTCTGCGCGCGTGTGCACGCCCCGGGACCAGCCCCGGGGGCCGGGAGCGCGGCCGAGGGCTCGAGAAAGGAGGGGTGGCCCCGCGGACTCGCGGGGCGCGAGGGCGGGGCAGGTGCCTGGCCCTTGCCCCGCCCACCGGCCCCGCCCGCCGACTTCGGTGGGAAGGAGGAGGCGGCGGCGCTGGGCGCGGGGACTCGGCGGCG